ATAGAGGTTCCAAGAATTGTCCATATTTTTAGGTTCACTTTTAAGATTGCGAATTAGATGTCTAAATTCCTGAGCTCACTTTTAAGATTGTGAATTAGATGTCTAAATTTATGGGTTCAAGAGTTAGGGTTTAGAATTAGATGTCTAAATTTCTGGGTTCAGGGGTTAAGATTACGATTTACTTGTTTTGATTTTTTGAATTTATGTGTAGAATGATGGCTACAACATTCGGAAAAAATGGGATCACGCTGTCGATAAAGAGATTTTTAAGTTAAGAAATGAGATTCATGAGCATTGCGCGAGGATTGCAAAGATGTCACACCATGAATTTCATATCAAGCAAATGTGTATGGAGCTGAACAACAATGCTGAAGAGATTGCAAAGCTGAATGGAGTATTGGTGGGTTTAGGGTTTAAGGTTTAGAAATCTTTCACGTCTTTAGCTGGGATGAATTATCGTATTTCTCTAAGAACTTATCTTATGCAAAATATCTGGAAATTTCATTTAAACTGAGTTGTTACTAAGTAGACCAATTTTTACCAAGTTTGACCAATTATTATAGTTTATCATATTTTCGAGTAGTTGGGCTGAATTATACCAATTTGTAGCAATTATTGTAATTTGATAAATTTCCACATATTTGGGCCGAAATGTACTATTTATTGTAGTTTGACAAACTTGCACGTAGTTGGGCCGAATTATACCAATTTGTAGCATTTATTGTAGTTTGACAAATTTACATGTAGTGGGACCGTATACCTATTTATACCAATTATACCAATTCTACATTTTAGAGTTTCTTCACTTTTTAGGAATTCAAATTCGTAATAAATTTGGGTTTACACGACGTTTGCTATTAATTTTCATTTATAACAAATAAGTGATAATTACTAAAAAGTACATATAACAGAAAAAAGTTCAAAATACTAAAAATAAAAAAGATAAAATAAGACTCCTCTCTCAGACATAGGAGTGGATGATTTCTAAGATGGTGGAGGAAGTGGTAGACGAAGAAGATGAGCAATTTAGGAGTTTGGTAGATGGGTTTCTTCTCCCCACTCTTTCCTCAGGCTCCTAAACTGCTAATCCTATCGTCCACCACAAATAAGACTCTTGTTTCTATAGAGAGATTGAAAATTATAATTTCGGTCAAAAAGAGAAGGAAGGAGTGGTTTGAAGAAATAAAAAAGAGAGTGGGCTATTTAAGGATAAGCGAGACGGTGCTTGATGACATCTTTACGCGTGATCGTTTTAAACGGGGTAAGTAAATGCATCCACTCACGATTAAAATGAATCGATTCTCGATGTAAGACTGGTACAACTACCAAGTCTGGTAAAATATATCAATTGTTATTTTTATTTATAAAAAATAAATAAAATTTTTCATTTATTGAATACGACGTTGGCGATAAATTTTCATTTATTGAATACGACGTTTGCGATAAATTTTCATTTATACCAAAATAAATGAATATTACTAACTGAAAAAGGTTCCAAAAAGGTTCAAAATACTAAAAATAAAAAGATAAAATGAAAAAAACATGCAAAATAAGTTTTTTTTTTATTCATTATTACGACATGATATGCAATTGGGTCCAACTCCAAACATGTTCATTGAAGCAGATCCTTTCACAGTGAAACATATCCGCATCATCCTCCTCACAGATCCTTCTCTAGATCCGCGGATGAAGTGATGGGAGCTACATAGTTCAGGTGGTAATACTTCAGCGGAGCTAACCATGCATCCAGATTTCGGTTCTCAAATCTCAGTCTCTTTTTGCGAAGCTAATGGACCAAGTGGACTGTCCATATAGACTTTTATAAAGAAAAAAAAATTTCGACTAGGTAGGTTGTCATTATAATCATATTAATATTTTTTTCTCAAATCATTAGATCAATTTTTTACAATACCATAATGTTCATCTTCCTTGTATTCAATATTGAAATCCATAACCCACTAACCATTTGGGCGTTGTCATCATAAGATATTGGGCCTTAAATAACTGAATTTATATTTATTACCTTTTGAATGTATATAAGTTGTGACAATGTAGTTGGATCGATCATATGTATCTGATCTAGATATAAAGGATAAACTACTATTAGTGAACTTGTCCAAGAAATTTTCCTTTTTATTGTTTGAGAATCTAACAGTAGTTTAAAGTCATTTGTTTTTTCTTATTTTTTATTATTAAGTATATTTGTTTATTAGATTTCCTTCTATTTTAATGTTTGAAGACATGGTCGTAAAAACAGTATAGAAGAATATAGATAAAAACATATTAGTATCCAAATAATTTAGTTTAATTAGTTTAAAATCTTTTGATCATTGTTCTATATATTTAAGACATAGTTTTTTGAAGTACCATACAAACTCATTTGAAGAAGAAGAAAGAATTAAACAATTTAGAAAAGGTGTGAGAGAATTAGAAAGAAATCATGTACATATTTCTTCTAAAATATTTGAAGTCGAATACACTAATCTAGACATCACAAATACCATAATTCCATTAGACATTCTATTTATTGATTTTTATTTTTTTGTTAAATTTTTACTAAATTTTGTTTCTATAAAATTTGTGAAACAGTTTGATTTGACAGCGAAATAAAACATTAAACCACAATAATTTAGAACGGTTTGTTTTAAGTTATTTTTAACACATCATCAAATAAAAACCAATAAAAAAATAACACATAATCGGTAAATGATGTAAATTTTTTTTTTTGCAGCCGAAACTCATTCTGAAGCTGAGACGTAAACGAAACACTGTGAAAATTGCTGTGAGCGCGACATGTAAGCAAATCACTACACAAATAAGTATATAGATATCGATCAAACCGGCTCAAATTAAATTAATATACTTTCAAGTTATTTCAAACCATAACTAACGAGGAATATGCATTTTAAGCTACAAAGGTTTAATGAAAAAACTTGTCAAAAAAAGGTTTAATGAAAGAACCATGAAAGTAGGTAAATGAGCGATACTATAAATATGTAAACTTTTTTACTTTTTAGTTTTGCATGCACTCAAATTGTTCAACTTATATTTTTGTCATACATATACATTTTACACATTTATAATACAAAATACATATAAGAAAATGGATAATCTAAAAATATATATAAGAAAATGGATATTTAATTTTTTTTTTAATTTTAAACTTTTAGTTTTAAAATATGTAATTCATATACTTTATTTTATTTTTGTTAACAAATAATTATTTGAAAAAGATTGGAAATGAAATGAGACATTCGAAATGGATATAGGCAGATATGGAAAAATCATCCAAAAATGGACAGATCTGTCCCTTAATCAGAGGCAGCTAGTAAAGAGATAGGAGGGTCACATGACCCCAATAAATGTTTCCAATTTTTTTTATTAATATGGTAAAAACATTACTTTGACCCCACTAAAAATTATAATTAGATGTTCTATGACCCTGTTACATCATAAATTTTGCTTATTTTTTTTTTTTTCATTTTAAAACCTCAAATCAGAACTTCTTCATCTTAATTCTAAGCATTTGTATCCAAATTCTCTAAAACTTTTTTTTTATTTTTATTGTTAAGCGATTATATATTTTCACTTGTTTCAAAGTTTAGATTATTTTTGTAATATTAATATTATATTATTATAAATCCAATAATTTTTTTTCTAGTTCCGGCACTGCCCTAAATCCTAATAATCTCTTACCCAGAAGCATAGTCCGATTTCAATATATTGAGATGTTGACTTCTAGTACAGAAATCAAATTTTTGGATTTTGATGTTTGTATCATTCCAACATAGAACGTAATGGGCTTGGGCCTAATAAAATGAATAGATTTCTGTGTTTCATGAGGCGCAATAAGCATCTCTTTGTTGATAAGATTGGCAGGGAAAGAACATGCAAAGCCTTGTAACTTCAAGCTAATAGATAGGTTCTCAAGGTTTATCTTCTTCTGTCTTTCGTTTGGCTGAGCCAATAAAGTTTCAATATTCTTTAAAAAATTCTTATTTTTTGTTTTAAAAATTAATAAACAAATCAACAGAACAATCAACAAGATGTTCTTTAAAAATGATTTTCAGCGAAGTCATGAATTTTGTAATTTGCTGTTCCCTACCAGAGTTAAAATAATTTCAGTAACTTATTAGTCTACAGTCTACATAAATACTCACATACACATTTTGTCTTAAATATTTTTGTTTAATAGATATAAAGATATATTATTGTTCAGAAAGTGAACATTTTTAAACTCAACATAAGAAATCAAATATACATGTACAACCCAAAAACACTATATAAACACAAATCTTTGGTGTTATATAAGTTGTTTTGCACAGAATATATAAAGATCACACGTAAATATGACCAATCTCGTTGGCACAACCATATGTGGACGACAATTTTGTCACGTGCACTAATAATTTTCCCAAATATTGTTTAAAAATATCAATTAAATCCACGAAGTTAATAGCACTGTTAGGACATTATCATAATAATGCTAGCGAAATGGTGGGTATAAGACCATGTCCATTAATGAATCTCTCTTAATTTATAATATTAATTTTTTTTTAATTTGAAGTTTAGGAAAGAATCTGTACCATTTTTCGAGTTTCATTAGTGAACCCTATTTTGGAATTCATCCCGAATAATTTTTTTTTTATAATTAGAAATTTTAATTTTGATGATAAATTTAAACACACATTTATTATAAAACAAAATTACAGTTCATTACAAAAAATTTAAAAACATACAATATATAGAATTTAGAAATTAGAAAACATTTAGTTCTATTATTGAAAAGTACCAATTTTTTTTAAAAAAAATTCAAAAATTTAGTTTTACTAATAAATTTAAACACACATTTATTATAAAACAAGATTACAATTCATTACATGAAATTAAAAAAAAATACAATATATAGAATTTAGAAATTATAAATGCAAGTTAATTTAAAGATAGAAGTTTTTTTAGTCATTACCTTAAAAATACTTAGTTTTCAGAAAGCAATCTTATTAAAAATAGCATACAAATAGTAGAAGTGCATTATTCTCAAATACAAGCCATCGAAGTAAGCTATACATTTGGATATATAAATATATATATGTTATAAAAACCAGCGTAACCAACAAAGAATAAAAAGAATCTGAAGTCCTGTGGCTTAATAATTCCCTTCTTTACAAGTACTGCAGCTTCATCCAATGTGTTTCGAGCACCAAAGTTAAGGCCAGGCATGACTTCTTCAGACCCGGGTATCTTGGTTTTATATATCGCGGGTCTTAAGCAGGAACATGCTTGCTTCAAGAGGTCCACCATAGTACAAGGGACATTCTGAAAACGTGGTAGCGAGCTTGGTTTTAGTTGGTTTCATGTGCTTCTTGGTTCAGATTCATGATGTGTTGTGGCTGGTTTGAGACCTTCAGCTTCTGCCTTTTCTTCCTGTGACATCGTTGTAAAACCTATTGACTTATATATATATATAGGTTTTGTCTGGACCATAGAAGTGAGGAAAGCTATTCACATCATCCACAGCTTCATAGGTCAATCCATCTCCAAGCTGCAATTACACATGACCAAACCATGTCAATCTCTTTTGTTTCAGGCGATTCCATGGTCTTAAAGAGTCTATATATACTATTAACTCATTGTCTTCTCAGCCATTAGATCTGCTTAAGCACATACAAAGCTTGTACATATGAATGACGGCAAAACATCATCAAAGCATAAATTTGCTTCCAACAAAAATTATAAGAAATTTACAACAGTGTTCCTTAAGATCATGGTTCTTTTACTTGGATTGTGTTAGTCCCTAATGCAGCTTGTAAAGAAATAGGTTTCAAACTCATTTTTGTGTGTATAGCTTTCAAAGTCCACCCACAAAATAGCACACATAACCAACTCTGGAATCAATCAACATCATAGAGTACACTCACAGGATGACTAGGCAGCCTTAAGAAGTTTCTTGCTTTGATTTCATATTCCATTTTGTTAACTTCTCAAATCCTTGAAAAGGTGGAGTTATATTATAACCACATCAGATACTAACGTTTTCTAGATCAAGCACTCACCAAACTAGACCGATCCTTATTAATACCAAATGATCATATTGAATCCACATTAATGTTCCCATATCGAAGGATAGAGTCAATATCAGTGAACAACCCTTCTTAGGGTCGATTTGAAGAAGATAAAGATCCTCCTTAGCATTCAAGAAAAAGTTTTGCAATATCATTGGTACCTGAAATTCGAAGAAGCAAATATCATCAAAAGGCAGCAAACATCTACATAAAAAAGTATTGATTTTTTGTCACAAGATAACAATCAAATTGGTCAAAATTTCGGGACTTAGTGAAAACCCAGATGGAAAAGTCAGAGATTTTTACTAAGGAAATCGTAGAAAGATGAAGAGAGACCTGATCGAGTTTGCTGAGATGATAACAATCGACGGATGCAACAGTTGATCTGCCTGGTCTTTTTTAGGGGTTTCGAGGAGATCATTTCGACGGATGCAGCAGGTGATCAACAATCGTCGGAGAAGACGAAGAAGAGAGAAAGAAGGAGTCGGGGAAAGAGAAAATAATTTTTTTCCCCTCAAAATTTTTTTTCCCCACAAAATTATTTTTCTTTCTCGTTCAATCCGCTTTTGCCACGTGGTTCGGATACGAGGTCTTCAGAGTCGACCGGATGAACCAATCCTTCAATATTGGACTTTTTTTTTTTTTTTTTTTAACCCAAAAATCCTCAAAATCTGTGCTTAAAACTTTGGATGAACCCCCAATGAACCTGCTCTAACAGCATGATTATCGATAAAACTGAAATGAGTCTCTTAAACAATTAATTATTATTATTTTGGGTTAAGAGAGTTTGATAAGAAACCTTAAATTTTAATCTGTCCAAACTCATATTTCTAGAACAATACTATACACAAATAAAAATTGTTCAAGCTCGTCCGGGAATTATTCGATGTTTCTAGAACTGAATCAACCAAAGAAAATTGAAATTCACAAGATCAATGTCTTGTTGACTCATCACTTCTGATCAGATTTCAAACTCAAAACTTTTTCAGATGATGAGACAATTCCAATTCAAACTTCCTTGTGATAAAAATGCAAATCAACCTACAAAATTTCACTTATTGATGCGTACTTCTCCTTCGTATACAACCAAATTGACGCCTTTTAGTATCTCCTGCCTCAATTCAACAATCACAGCTCTCAAATCCTTAACCTCAAGCAAATGGATCCTGCCCACGTCATCCCAATCTCCCACCAACGAATCAACAGATGGAAGAAGTAGCAACAGTAGCTGAACGGCGAGTTGTTCGCAGGGTTGCAGTGGTGGCGGAAGTAGCTCGGAGATTACAGAAGATAGCACGAGAGGGTGAAATCCCGAGCCGAGCTCGCTGAGGAGGAGGAGAAGGAGAAGAAATGGTTGGAACAAATTGAGCAACCGAGTGTGCATGACACCGGCCATGGAGACACAAAATTGCAGCGGAAGACGACGGAGGTTACCCGGTGAGAAATGGAGTAAACAAAGATGATCCCAAGCTCTGATGCAAAGAACCCAGAAGCAATCGGACAAACCAAAGATGATTGGGGAACAAAAAATTTATCAGGCAAAAAAAGAGAGAAATATCATTTTCTTTCCAAAAGTTTTTGGCCACTTATAAAACTACACGTGGCACAAAAACCTTTTTTATTGGTGCCAAATAAGAAACGTTTCTAATGTATATGAGCTGAATTAGATTATATTTAATATTAAATATTGATAAGAAACGGGATAAAGAATCTAAGATTGCGTGGTTACCATTTAAACGAGTCTCTTATCTTTACCAAAAATTGGAACCAACATTTGCATCATAGTTCTGTAAATTGGTAGGTAGCTTAAAACCTTTTTTTATGTCGGCATGTGTATCAGAGAGAAACGATACATCTTACATAAAAGAAAACATAGTACCAAGTGTGAATATTCCATATAGAAAAGACAATAGGATCAATTAAACATATACTCCCGTAAAGGGTCCTATCTTTAAAGCTTTGTTTATTTTTTAAATGAAAAATGACAAATTTTTATTTAAACCGAATCTATAATTCATAAAGCTAAATTGATGTATCGATCAAGTTTAAAGAAAATGAACTTTTGACCCAAAAAAATATTATAGAGGTGAACTAAACCGTAATTACATTGGAAAGCAATTGTGAAAACCAAAGCGAAAATCCTAAACCTCTACTTGATGTATCCTTTGGTTCATGGATGTGGAAAAAAATCCTAAAGCTCAGGGAAGAGGCACGACGATTCCATAAGGTGGAAGTTAAAGATGGTTCTAATACTTATTTCTGGTTTGACGATTGGTCTCCATTGGGTCGGATTTTGGACCTAACAGGGCTCAGAAGAACAATCGATATGGGGATTAGACTTCAGGCTACTGTCGCTGAGGTTATGGACAACCGCCGGAGAAGACGTCACCGATCCTCAATCCTCAACAACATCGAGTATCTTATACTTTCTTGCTCTCAGGGAGCTGCACGAACTGGAACTGATATCTCATTATGGAGGAATGCAGGGGATAATTGCAAGAAGACTTTCGTCTCAAAGAGCACGTGGAACCTGATTCGACAACGATACCCGAAAACAGACTGGTATAAGAGTGTTTGGTTTAAGTACTCAACGCCGAAGTATGCTTTTCTCACCTGGCTTGCAATTCAAAACCGGTTGTCTACGGGGGATAGAATGAAGCAGTGGAATGCAGGACAACCACAGACTTGCATTTTGTGTCAAAGTGGTGACGAAGAATCGTGCAAGCACCTGTTTTTTGAATGCAGGTAATCATCGGAGGTATGGAGAGTACTGGTTTCTCGACTTCTAGGATCGGAATATACGGCGAACTGGGATGAGCTTATTTCTCTTCTTCACACATCTCAGCTAAACCACCTGGGCAGTTCCTCTTCCGGTATGCTTTTCAGACGGCGATCTTTCACATTTGGCGGGAACGTAATGCTTGTAGACATGGTGAGAATCCACTTATGCCATCTCGACTTCTTAAGTTTAATGGACAAAGTGATTCGAAATCGCATCAGCACCATTTGGAGAACGGAGGACCGAACTTTTGATGATGGACTGATAGTATGGTTGATCACCACTAGACCACTATAGTCTTACTGGGGAAATTTTAATCAAAGCTTCTATGAAACATTTCTAATTTAAAACTTCAGTTATTGTAAAAATGATTTTTTTTTGGGTTTGAATCTAATTTTATATTCGATTCAAAAAAAAAAAAACCAAAGCGAAGAAATATAGAATGATTTAATTGATTTACTTATTTATTTCAAATACTAAAAAAGAGAAAAAAAAATAAAAATTACGACCTCCATTTAGTTGACAATCGTTCATATAAGAACTAATCACAGTGATAGTTTTTTTGAAAAAAAAAATATTATGAAGTGAACGTAACATTGTAGACTATAAAGTAATACTATATTTTTTCTTACAATGACTAATCGGTCTACTTGCTAGCGAGTTTACTGGCATAAATTTACGATTCAAAATAAACATTACACTTATTCGAAATTATCCTGAGATAATAATGTATATACGTAAAAAGTATTGGTACATGCAGTACCCAACCCAAATTTTACAGGTAATGAATTGTTTCGATTTTGGTTCCAAATTACTCCAGTTATTAAAAAAATAATGTTGGTAATTGTAAATGAAAAATGATGAAGCAAAGGCCAACATCTCAATATGTTAAAGTAGAGAATATATTTGGCCAAATGTAGAAAGCGATCAAATCTTGACTTATGAATAAACCAGGAAATGGACAGGTCTATGGGGAGAAGATATTAGGTCACATGTTTTTTAGTTTCTTCTTTATCTGTATCTGTATGGACCATCAAGTATAATATTTCAGTTTGCACTTTTTTGCATGTTTATGTATTCGCACATAATCATTTTTTTTGTTAGATTTTTTTCTGTTAATTAAGTTGCAGCCAACTCTTTCTTTAACATTACATCAATTTGATAATAAAACAATGCATAAAAGCTGAAATGTTGTTATATATTCTTTTAGAGTCACTACAAGAAAATATCACATATTCTTACCACATATTTTATCAGAAAATCGTAAGAAACTAGCTTTTCCAACCAATTTTCTACTAAATATTTTTGTAGGTTCTATGCCGTCGGAAATTTTAAATGGTAGAAAAATCGTAGGAAATTTCTGACAAAAATTTTGGTAAGAAAATTTTGGCGGTAGGATATTCGTAGGAAAATACCTATCAAATTACTTCCATTCTCTTTCAGTTTAATTCTTTCCAATTTCTTACGAAACATTACCTATATATTTTCTACGAAATATTCCTAGGGAATTCGGGCAATGACCAAGATAGCCTAAAGAATATTGAATCATTGGTTTCAAAAAGTCTCCTCCCAATCTTAGAGAGATGAAGTTTGGGAAGGCCGAAGGGATTCAGATCAAATCACATTAGCAGCGTGAAGATGATAACTTGGTGAGCGAAGTAATTTTATTATTGCTTCACATATTGTTGGGAATGGACGTTTTGACATGTCCGAGAGCTTGCAAATGTGCATCCTTGTGCCATCAAATTTAACTGTTCGCTAGTGTTGTTTTTTTGATTCTATGTGGGATGCTTGCATATGTTAATATTGGTGCGCATGAATTTACTTTGTGTCTTCTCAGAAATTCAAACATTTAGCACAGCCTCACTAAAGATAGTTTGTTGACGAAACCTTCTTCATTTATCAGCCTTACTAAATATAGTTTTGTTGACGACAACACATCTGCTAACAAACCATTTTTTCCTTTTATTTAAAGAAATTATATGGCGAAAATATCACTAAAGAAAAGAATATCATTGTTCTTGATTTCGTGAATTAACTTATCTCAGGTTCTTAAAATAAGGAATTTTGTTTTATTTAATTTTTACTAGTATTGAAATCTTCATATATGAGGAAGTATTTATCACCAAAATAAGTTTGCTAGATTTTGTAAACGAGAAATAACTTAACTATATAGTTTTGTAAACGAGAAAGTATTTATCACCAAAATAAGTTTGCTAGATTTTGAAAATTTATTTATTAAATCACCGGTTATGATATTTTTTATAAGAAATATTTTTTCTCCATTTGTATTTTAACATCAAATATATTCAAATGAAATAGATTATTTCCTATTTTAAACTTATAAAAAAAAATTGGATGGGAAAAAGTGAAGCTGACGGGTCATGAAGCTTGTGCTTCTCTATATCCAAATCCAACCCCCGAAGTTCACATCGATGGATTCAAAATTAACCTACAACTCATTTCAAAACATCTTAGCCTACCGATACACTCGTCATATGATAATCTGGTTATTAACTTTTTTATATATTTTCTAATTTTTATTAAATTTGTTATATACTCTCTCTGAAGGCTAGAGTTAGTTGTAATTATAATGAATCTGTTATAGCTAGTAGTTAACTGCGTGCAAAAGATTAGAACAGAAAATGTTAAATACTATAACACATCAAAGGTTATAGCAAGTTAGCAACGAAAGACATATTTTGGTATTATGTTTTAAAATATCAGTTTTAGTTTTGGTTTTCAAACATTTGCTGTGTATGAAACTTCATTTGAAAATACGGTGTTCAAATGATAAATTTCTAGAAGAAGGATATTTACAAATTCAGATTCCATTGTTTCACAGTTTCGAAACAGAAAGAAGACAAAACCATAGTTGAAAACAAGATACAATGATACATTGTCGTTTATGTAGATTGGTCCAATATAAGTAGTACTAGTCCGAATAAAAAAATTGTGGTCTTTTTATATTTAATACTCAATTTCTTAAAATAATATACTTGAATTTTAGAGAACAACTTTTTAGTAAGAAAATAAGTTTTTTTTCCTAAAAATTTAGCTATTATCATAAAATAATATTTTAGTCATCTTGAAAAACCATTAAAGTTTGATCAATAGATACAAAATTAACAAAAATTAACGAATCCACATCAGTAGGAGGCGACTCAGAAGGCGATCACAAATTCTAGGGCTTTTCTAAAGATTTCTGCCCAAGGTAGGGCATGACGGAGCCGGAAAAGGTGGTTCCACCGTCGAAGAAAGCCGGGAAGACGATGAAGGCGATTTCTGAGAAGGTGGTGGAGAGTGTGGAGGCGATCGGATCAACGGAGAAAGAGATTAAGGCTATAGACTTAGGACTTGCAGAGGAGGCCGGTGTTATTTGTTCGCAAGCGTCGAAACCGAGTGAGAAGAGTGCGGTGCCGCATCAGGTGCGTGATGTTGAGGCTGTTAAGGGGAAGTCCTGGTCTTCAGTGGTTGTGGAGAAGGCTATGTTTCGAAAGTATGAGGTTGTTGTGGAGAAGAAGGATGGAGTGGATACGTTACGTATTCCATAACGATGTATTTGAAAACGCTCCTCCTCTCTGGGAGGATTGTGTTGTTGGAAAATTTGCCTTGAATGCGCCTCATGTGGGCTACATTCACATGACAGTGAATAAGATTTTGACTTTGGCAGATAAGTCTAAGAAAGGGGATGTGTTTGTCGTGGATGAAACTACAGTTAAATTAAAGATACCCGATGCGTCTATCAGATGTCGGGTACTGCAAAGAGGGATGTGGAGCATCGAAAACATACCAATGATGGTATCTAAATAGAGTCCGATGGTGGAGGAATCTCAGCCAGCGTTAAAAGTGTTTCCAATGTGGGTTGTAGTACGAAATGTGCCTCATTCGATGTTTTCATGGAAGGGGATAAGTTTTCTTGCGAGTTCTTTGGGGGAACCAAAGAAACTTCACCCAGATACGCTTTGGACAAAGAATTTCGAGGAAGCAAGAGTTTTTGTGGAAGTAAATTTGGAACAGAAGCTCCCAGAAAGTTTCAGTTTCAAATCAGAAACCGGTGTCAATTCAATTGTCCACTACAAATTCCAATGGCTTCCTCCAAGGTGTGTGTCTTGCGCGAAGTGATGTCATACCATTACGGAGTGCAAAGCTTAACCTGGAGATAAGCAGATTTTGCAGAGGAAATCTCCAGCAAAGGCGGTAAATTCTAAGGCGGTAAACTCTAGTGCAGACAAGGAGGGCAAGGGGTCGAAGGCTTCTAAAGTGGGGGAACAGAACGGCTCTGTCTCACTGATGAAGCAGAGAAAGAAACAAGGTGATGGAAGTGGGATAGTGACAGAGATGTGGAAGGAGCCAATAGAGCAAGTGAGAAGTAAGAATGAAGTGGTGTGCACTGCAAATGTTATCACCGAGAAGCAGAGTGGAGAACTTGGAAAGGAGTTAGTCGAAGTGGTACCTGAGTCCACAGCCACTTTAGATGAAAGTCTGAAATCTTGTGAGGAAGCTAGTTGGCAGGAAGTAAAGTCACCAGCATCTAGGCGTAGCTCGCCGAAGGTAGCAGAGACAAACATTGTCTCATCTTCTCGGTTTGCATCGCATGATCAAGCGCCAGTGGATGCAGAGGAAAGTGAAGAGGAAGTTTGCTCGGAAACAAAGCCAGAGAATGTATCATCTGCGATTAAGGTAATCAAGGATGGAGAAGAGATTGGTCGTGTTTCGCTCCCCAGGGGATCAAAATCGGCGCACAGAGTTGTTAAGCCTGCTTCAAACCCGTCTCCTCCAAAGAATTCAGGTAAGAAGACCAGGAAGAGGGCGCAGAGGAAACCAAATCATTAATGTCATGTGTTTTCTAGAATATACGAGGTTTTAACAAAAAGAAGAAGCATAGCGTTGTGAATAGTTGGTGCAGAGAACAGGATTTTCAGTTTGGAGGGTTGATAGAAACAAGAGTGAAGGAAGAAAAAGCTAAG